ATTACATTTCTGACTGTATATCCCTGTAATTATTACACACTGTAGCTTTAAGTAAATTTACAAGCCTGTACTTTGTTACTTTTACTTGAGTAAAGAAGTTTAATCAGTACTTCCACTTTTACCAGAGTATTTTTTAACACAAGTATCTGTACTTTTACTCAAGTACAGAAAGTGAGTACTTTTGCCATCTCTGGTTAGAGCATTGCTCTTGGGTTTCAGAGATTCTGAGTTCAAATCCCACACTGCTCCCCGGGGGCCGCACAATGGCAGCCAACTGCTCCCCAAGATGATGGGTTAAATGCAGAGAATAAATTTCATTGCTCTCTACTTGTGACAGTGTGATAATATAAAGTTTAATTCTATTTACTCAAATAATTTTACCCTTACTATGGTCGCCCAATTTACACAATCAATATGTGGACATTATAGTTTCTTGATGAGACGGATTATTTTTATACATTTAGTTGGCGACGATGAGCACCAGTTATGAAGATGCCATGTTGTTTTCAAGAGCTATGATTTTAACAAACGTATTCATGTGCAATTATAATTTTATTTAATGGAAATTAGCTATATAATGTATTTTATATTGAGAAAATCTTTAAATTCAAAAGTAGCAGAATTTCAGCATAGTTTTTTGCACATTTGTCAATGAAACGCAGCAACTCTTTGTTTTTTTCCCCCCAGACTACTACTGTTCTAAGTTTGACAGAAAAGCCTTTAACGGAGTGTTACTGTGTTGATTGGAGAAATTGCTGATATAGAAGCAAATGTTGACCATTTATTCGGGTTATCTCCAAACACGTGTCTTCCTTTACAATGACTTGTCTGTTACATGTGCAGACTGATAGGTCCCAATTTATGGAGTGAATTTTGGTCCATTATTGTTCCAAGCGAAAAACTGGTTTTGTAATTTGAAATTTGAAAAAAAAAAAGCCATCAAGAACAAACATTTTAAAAGATTTTATTTATTCCAAAACAAAAGTTTTTGAGTATAGGTTTTTTTTCTTAGATTCTATCATTTTTTTTTAATTCCTAATACATTTTTTTCATAGTTGCTCTGTTAAAAGGTTTTTTCTTTTCTTTTATTTTTTTGTACAGATTTTACATTTTCACTTTTTATTTCTGTTTTTCTGGTTTAGTTTTAAAGTTTAATTTTTTTCAAATTGCATTTCACAAATGACAATCTCTTCACCCAATCCAAACACTTGCTCACACTGACCAACAAAAATGTTGCTAACGTCCAGCAGACCAATAGAAAGGAGTTTTTGCTCCTCTCTCCAGAGAAATATGTGAAAAGAATGCAATTCTTAAAACTTGATCCAAAAAAGACAAAAAATACAAATATAAAAGAAAAAAAGTTTCTCTCAAAACCTTTTTTTTAATAAAAATATTCAAAGTTTAAATTCAGGATTTATCTTTTTTTAAATAAAATTTCAATTTACAAAAATGTTCTATGCTTGGATGCAAAAATAATGGACCAAAATTTACTCCATACTAATCCAGCAATGCGTACCACTGCCCATTAACATGACGATCTGTGAGTTATGGTTTTGTTTCCCATTGAATCCATGCATCCATGATGTGTTGAACCTGAACACCTCTTATTGCTTCAGATGATCTGAGATGCTGACTGCATCTTCAGCAACATGGAGCTACGGTGGCGTCATCCTTCTAAAACAGGCCATAGTTTGTTTAAGTTAAGGGGCCAACCTTTCTGCTGTCATGTATTCTCTAGATGGTCTGACCTACAGTGGAACACATGAAGCCAGGATGATCTAATCAGGCTAAGTCAAACCTGTCTTTATCTGATATGCTGGGTTCCTAAATTCAGCCTCAGTGAAACAGGCCTCTGGTTTGCGTGCTTTTGTTTTGCTCTTTCTGCTGTCAGCAGCCATCTGTGTGTTCAGACAACAGCTTCTCAGCCTGAAGGCAGGAAGAAAAGCTGTAAGCTGATCGGCAGCTGGAGGAGCTCAGTGACAGAAACATGAGGAGAAGTGTGAATATTTCAGGCTGCTGGTGTTTCTTTGAGCGCATCTCCTGTCATGTTCAACCTTTTCAGATCCGCTGAAGGTTGCGCTCAGACTTCATGAAAGGAACCGATCATATTTCCTCACAGTTCAGAACTAGAGAGGCTCAGACTGGGTCTACCTCCACTGGAGAAGATGTGGTTCCTGCTAAGCTAAAATGATTTTGGGAACCATAGAGAAGAGAAATGGTTGACATCCTTCAGGAACTGATGCTAAGATAGTCGCCTTCCCAAATGAACATGAGTTTGACTCCAGCTTCATCCAAACAGGAGTTCTGCTTAAAGCAGGATTTCTGTTGACAGTTTCAATCAGCTGGATTCGACTGATAAGAAAGATGAACGGAAGCCCATAGAGCCTCCTCCAACAGCCTTTAAAGCTTAATCAACTTGTTGAGTCCTTTATAAAAGGACATCCATTAGAACCTACTCCGACAGCCAAAATAATCTCCCATCAGAAGAACCTTTTCAATCATCAGTAGAACCTCCTACATCATTAGTAGGACTCCCTTAATCAGAAGTACAACCTCCTTCAACAGCAGTGAAACCTCCTCTGGAAGCAGTAGAATCTCCCCCAGCACCAGTAGAACCTCCCCCAGCACCAGTAGAACCTTGTCCAAAAGCAGTAGAACCTCCCCCAGCACCAGTAGAACCTCCTCTAGAACAAGTAGACCCTCCTCCAACGGCAGTAGAACCTCCTCCAAAATCAGTAAAACCACCTTCAGCAGCAGTAGAATCACCTCTAGGAGCAGCAGAACCTCCCACAGCACCAGTAGAACCTCCTCTAGAACAAGTAGAACCTCCTCCAACAGCAGTAGAACCTCCTCCAAAATCAGTAAAACCTCCTCTAGAAGCAGTAGATCCTCCCCCAGCACCAGTAAAACCTCTTCCAGCATCAGTAGAACCTCCTCTAGAAGCAGTAGAACCTCCCCCAGCAGCCTTTGGAACCTTCTTCAGCAGCAGACAGCAGTAGTACAATCTTCATTATTTTTAGCCATCCTGTTGCAGCTTTGAGGCTTTGTTTGGGATCGTGAGACCAAGCTTACCCACCAGTCTACAGATCAGTTCGTGTTCCTCTCAGTGGCAGCAGAACAAGCCCGGATAATCATCCCTTCACGTCTGGCTGCTGGTGTTCTGGTGTTCTGATGTTCTGACTTCAGGTCTTCACTGAGTCATTGTTTGCAGCATTGCAGGGTTTAAAATGTCTCTAAAGAGTCTAAGATGGCGGAACTTTGTTTCACTTGTCTCTGTTTCTTGTCTTTCCACAGATACGTGATGAACTTCTACCAGACGGGTCACCTTCATGTCATGGAGGAACTTTGTGAGATCTCCTTCCTTCAGGAGATCGAGTACTGGGGCATAGACGAGCTCCGTATCAACTCCTGCTGCCGGGAGCGTTACTACCGCCGGAAGGAGCAGAAGGAGTCCCTGGATGTCCACCGAGAGTTTGAGGCAGATGATGACGAGGAGGACTTTGTTGGCGCGGCTTGTCCAGGCTTTCGCCGGCGCCTCTGGGACTTTCTAGAGAAACCAGAATCATCCCGCGCAGCTCGTACCTTTGGCTCACTCTCCATCTTCTTTGTGGTGCTGTCGGTCATCAACATGGTGCTCATCTCTCTGGACTTGGAGGAGGACTTTGGTGTGAGCTGGCTGGGCATCAGTGGGCCACGGCTGCTTGATTCTGTGGAGTACGTATGCGTCATATGGTTTACCGGTGAGCTGGTTCTACGCTTTGTGTCCGTCAGAGATAAGTGCCGGTTTAGTCGGAGCATTCCCAACATGATCGACCTGCTGGCCATCTTGCCTTTCTATGTCACGCTGGCAGTGGAGAGTCTCCACGGCGGATCCACGGAGCTGGAGAACATGGGCCGAGTGGTCCAGGTGCTTCGTCTCCTCAGAACCCTGCGCATGCTCAAGCTTGGCCGACACTCCACAGGTAAACAATCCTACAGGTTCTGCCAGGCATTGGTAGAGGGATCCGGTAGTTCTGGGCAAAGGCGTAACGACATAGGCCCGTAAGCAACATTATCTGGGTGGGCTCCATATGAAGTACAACACGTGTTAAAGGTTCGGGATACAGTGACAGTTCCATAAATCGGCCAAAAAGATACAATTATGCAACTCTCAGCAGTATATGTTCACGCATCACACAAAACTAGTGAGTGCGCAGCTTGAATGAAACCATTGGTGACAGCACACCACCACGTTACAGACATCCCAGTTTCAAAAACTCATTTCGGGGAGATGCTTATCTTTTTACCAACCATCTAATGAACTTTACACAGTCATTAACATAGTAATTAAAAGTACCACTGTCTGCTTTGCTATTGGTGTCGTGTTTAAACGTCTCACCATCATGTTGAAATGTGGCATGTGTTCGGGTATAAATACGGTCCGGTGCGGTCAGTCACTTCAGGATCAGGTGGGTTTAAGAGGAATTTTTCGCACCATTACATCTGCAAAGAGACGTCCTAGTTGACAATTGAGTAGGGGGCCCACCAGGTGTCAGTGATGGGGCCCCTAAGAGGTCATGGGCCCCTAAGCAACTGCTGTCTCTGCTTATCGATACTTGGAGATACCGAGGACTTGGAAGCAGATAAAATTCAAAAACAGAAACATCATTTATCTGCTTATTTTGACTTTTTAATTCAATGTTTGGGCTCCAATAAAGCTGGAAGCTGATGCCACCATTGCATCATATTAATAGAGGAAGTGATCAGTCTGATTGAAATCATCCTGATTTCTGAGTCTGAGCTCAGTGGGACAAACGGTCAAAATCTGCTCTGCTTTTAAAAAGGTGAAAGTCCTCAAAGATCATTCAGCCCTAAATGTATGTCAGTCTCATACAGACTCTATTCTACATGATCTGTGCTCTACTTCAAAGAGTCATTACAGACTTCTAAGTATTTTTTTTAACCTGGCAGTTTACCATTATTCCCCCATGGGTGCAGCTTCAGCATAAAATCTACCCTTCCTATTTATACTTTTACAGCAAAAAAAGAAGAATATATACATCTATATATATAGATGTATGTATTTGGGTGGTCTTCCCCCTTTTTCCTCCAAGCTCAGGTCCTCTACCAGAGGTCTGGGAGCTTGAGGGTTCTACCAGTATCTTTGCTGTTCCTAGGACTGAACTCTTCTGGACCGAGATGTCTGATGTATTTCCAGGGATCTGCTGGAACCACCCTTACATTTGGGATGATGGTTATGCATCATCCCAAATGTCCAAAAAGAACAAAATACCGCCAGAAATCCATCCAGTTGTGTAGCATGACAAAAGAACAGAATCAAACTGGTAGAGCTACTCCAACATTCAACCATCTTAAGCATATATATTATTCCTCCAGATACCATGCAGGAATAATAAGCTGGCTAAAAGATTAGATACAGGCCCCACATGTTAACACACGAAGGCTCCTAACCATACATGGAGGGTACCACCCCAAGTCTAGCACCCTGAGACTGGACGCCAGCCGTAAGGAAGGAGGCCAAGGACTAATGAGCGTAAGAGACACTATCCAGGATGAAACATCCAAGATCCATAAGTACATCAAGGACAAGGCTCCAACAGACGACATCCTCAGTGAATGCCTCAGACAATGGGGAACAGAAGATGAGGTGCCAGAGACTCCTTAATGGGAGGATAAGCCCCTATGCACCACCGAAACATAATCGAAGTGGCAGATATTAGGAAATCCTACCGATGGCTAGACAAAGCCAGACTGAAGGACAGCATAGAGGCACTCATCATGGCTGCACAGGAGCACCAGAGCAATAGAGGAGTGCAGAGTATGGGCAGGAAACCCAAAGGTCGAAGTGGGAAACGCCTCCAAAGATGGCAGAGAATGACCGAGCCAAGATCCTGTGGGACTTCCAGATACAGACGGACTGAATGGTAATGATAAACCAACCGGACATTGTGTTGGTGGACAAAAAGCAGAGGAAAGCCTTCGTGGTTGTCATAGCAATACCAAGTGACTGCAATATCAGTAATAAGGAACACGAGAAACTAAGAAGGCATCCCCAAAGTTGGTCCTGGAGGGCCGCTGCCCTGCAGGTTTTAGAGGTTTCCTTGCTCCAGCACAGCTGATTTTAATTGAAAGCTGATTAACTGCAATCATCAAAAACAGCTGTGCCAAAGCGGCTAAACCTTGATGACCGACTTCGGGATGCCTGAAGTAGAGAAATACCAGGGGCTCAGAGAAGAGCTGGAGAAAACCTGGAAGGTCAAGGCATCAGTGGCACTCATGGTCATTGGGGCCCTCGGGGCAGTGACCCCCAAACTGGAGGAGTTACAGCAGATTCCTGGAAATAGATCAGACATCTCAGTCCAGAAGAGTTCAGTTCTAGGAACAGCAAAGATACTGGCAGAACCCTCAACCTCCCAGGCCTCTGGTAGAGGACCTGAGCTTGGAGGAAAAAAGGAGACCGCCCACGGTGGGTGAGGAACAGATTATTTTATTTTCATGAATATCTATGTATAGCTATCTATAGCTATACATAGATATGTGTGTGTGTGTGTACTTGAGCTCCTGTTTTTAGGCCACTATCTGCTCCAAGAACAGAACCCATCATTAAAGCAACCAGGTGTGAGAATGTAGCAGAGTTGGACGTCAGCTCTGAGGTTTTTATTCCCCTGTCAGCGGATTTCACACTGCTGACGTGTGAACATCCAGGGACAGAAGAAGCAGAAGCAGCAGCTGAGATTTATCTGCCGGCGGCGTCTCTGTCCTCAGACACAAAGAAAATATTGATTCAATTTTGGCTGCAGAAAGAGAAGAGAGTGAGATTACATGTGCAAATAAAGCTGCTGCTGGAGCTTCAGACGCCGACAAGCAAGAGCTTTGATCTGAGTGATTTTAGGAAGCACTATGATCCCTGGACTCATGAATAATGAAGGAGAATCGACTGGAGAAGAGAAAAGTGGAGCAGGAATTTGAATAATGAGAGAAAAACAGGGTCCAGCTGGAGTCAGAGCTGCTCCGACTACAACTGAACGGGAAGATGTTTGGGTTTGAGATGAGATGATGGAACAGAAAGGGAAAAAAATAACAGAAAAACCAGGAGAGGATTAGGGCCACTGAAAAAAAAAAGTTAACTGATTTTTAAATTGTATTTCAGTTTAATATGTGATTATAGTTAGAATTATGAGAAAAGTCAGAATTCTGACTTTAATCTCAGAATTCTGACTTTTTTCTCAGTATTCGGACTTAAATCTCAGAATTCGGACTTTTTTCTCAGAATTCGGACTTTAATCTCAGAATTCTGACTTTTTTCTCAGAATTCGGACTTTTTTCTCAGAATTCGGACTTTAATCTCAGAATTCGGACTTTTTTCTCAGAATTCTGACTTTAATCTCAGAATTCGGACTTTTTTCTCAGAATTCG